CCCCCCCCGTGATGAGGGGGGGGGGGGCCGCAGAGGCGCCCCTGACTGACCGTGCCGCACCCACCTGCCGGGTCCGCGGTCCAACCGCAGCCTAACGGCACCGTCCGCGCTTCCGGGCCAGCACCGCTCCGGAAGCCGCCTCTTCACTTCCGCCTTCCGGACGGAGTCGATGACGTCACTAGCCCCGCGCCAATGGGGACAGGAGCACTGCAGATCACGCGCCCAAGCCATGCAGGGGCGGGACTTGCGGCCACCTGCAGGGACACTAGGGGCAAGGCACTGGACTAGGGGCTACCCCGCTGCGCTGAGTCTGGGACGCGTCTCTGGCTCGCAGGGACCCACAGGAGAGAGCGGCCGGCGGCCCAGCCGGATCTTCCAGACAGGAGTTACCTCTCCCAGGCTCCGGGGGGTGGCTGGTTTATCGGGGTCTGCAGACACAAGGAGCAGTCTTGTGGCACCTTGAAGAATAACAGATTTATTCGGGCGTTTCCTGGGTTAAAACCCGCTTCATCAGATGCATGCAAGGTCCAGCTCCTTTTGAAAGAGGCTGGTGCTGCCCCTGAGCCTGTCGGCACTTCGGGACAAATGTGAACCTGGAGTCATTCAGCTGCACTTCAGGACTATCCCACGCTTTGGCATGAGTGGTCACCAAACTTACTGCCAAGGGCCAGGGCAAAGGCATTCTACAGACAAATTCACTTGTTTAATAGGGTCTATCATGCGGGCATAAATATAGGATTACCTCCAACCAGTACACTTTCCAAATGTTGATGAGTCAGCCCGAAGATCAAGGGGGCAGTCTACTGTTTAGTACCTTTATTGCTTGCATTTGGCTTCAGAATACAAATATGCTCACTTTGAAGCCACTCTGCTGTTTTTCTTTGCTTCAGTGATATCTTTGTATTGTATTCTATGCAGCATTTCCCGTGGCCTCAGATTTCACTTCTATCCTACCAAACCCAGTAAATATAAGCAGTGAAATGGAATGTTAACTGTCATTTGAAACTACTCTATAACCCTGAGCCTGCAAGAACTCAATGCAGACACGTCTTCTAAAGCAGTGGTGCCTTCCTGGCGGGTTGCAGTGCCAGGCCGGTCACTATTTTGTTTTCTTGGCTTGGTGTCCAACGTGCGCACAGCAGGGGGAGCAGATCGGCACTTGAAATTAAAGGGGACCCCCAACCAAAATGTTCCAGCTGGTGGTTTTTTTGCTCAACCAAAATTTTCCTAGCCCTGAGGGTCGCAAATTAAAAAAGGTTGAGCACCACTGTTCTAGAGACCAAGGCAAAGGATCTTAGAGAGGCATCTACGAGGGGTACATTCTTGATATTGTTTTCACCACCAGGGCATGCATTATTGGCACCAAATACTTAAAATGTTCATTTCCATAATTTGTAGTCTAGCTATTTTTGGTGTGGTTGAGAAAATGGAAGTTTTGAAAAGTTGTAGCTATTTTTACAGATGGAGCTCCTGCTGAGAGTGACCAAAGGTTGACCACAGGATGCTTTTCCAAGAGCTGGAAAGCAGGGATGGGGTTCACCTTTCAAGGAAGGGGAAGACCGTATTTGGATGCAGATTGACTAATGTAGTAAGGAGGGCTTTAAACTAGGTTCAACGAGGCAGATGACCAAAGCTCACAGCTAAGTGAAGAACACGAAGACCTGGGAGTTGGGTCAGATATGGGAGGGAGCATAGGTTATAATGGCAGAGAAAAAAAGAGGGACAAGGCAGACCTGGGAGGCAAAATCAAATCAGTATCTTAGATGCCTATATACAAATGGAAGTAGTATGGGTAATAAGCAGGAAGAACTTGAAGTGCTAATAAACAAAACTATGACACAGTTGGTAGCACAGAGACTTGGTGGTATAATACAATTGGAATATTGATATAGAAGGGTACAGCTTATTCAGGAAGGATAGGAGGGATAAACTACAGCTTACTCAGGAAGGATAGGAGGGATAAACAGGGAGTGTTGTCTTACATATTAAAAACTAGCTGGAGTTACCCAGCATTGCTCGGGAAACCAGAGGAACAAAATGTAGAAAAACAGTAGTCCATTATCTTTTTTTGAATGGTAGAAAAGTTGCGCTGATATCTATAGGGATTAAAATATAGGTCTGCTTCATCCCTGAGGGGGCGGGGGAGGTTATACACGGGAGGGGCGCCCCAACCCCCCTTCCCGAGGGCTGCAGGTGCCACACAAGGCAGGGTGGGTGCCTGAGCCATTGCGTGCGTGAGGGTTGGGGCACTGCGTGCTGGCGCGGAGTGAGGGGAGAGAAAGAGGGTCGCTTATGTAACCTCACAGTCAGGAGGGGGCGAGTCCCGGACGGTGCTGGGGGGTCCACAGGTGGCGGGTATGGGACCTAGGGTGGCGGGGGGGCCCCTGCAGTGCAGCATGGTGGGTTACTTTTATTTTTACAGCTTGAGCTCGGGCCCGATCGGGTCCAAAAGTACCTTAAAACCTTCTCCTGGATAAAAGGTTATCCCATGCAAAGTTTGATTGCGGTAGCTCTTGTAGCGCCCAAGTTATTAGCACACAAACTTACAAAGATTCTCCTTTATATATTAGATGTATATACTTGGACAGATGTGGAGATGGATGTAGGAGACAGATCTGTTGAGAGTCTCTGGGTTAGCTTAAAAGGGTTCAAAAAACCTAGGGTGATGTCATGATAAGGGTCAACTACAGACCACCTATCCAGGTATAAGAGGTGGATGAAGCATTTTTTAAACTAACAAAATCATCCAAAGTGCAGCATTTGGTGGTGATGGGGTACTTCCAACTACGTAGACAAATGTTAGGAAACTAACACAGCAGGGCACAGACTATCCAATAAGTTTGTAAATGAAATTTACAATTCCCTGCTGTATTAATAACAAAAACCCATGCACACAGTAAGATTGCGCCAAGCAAACACCAGATTGCTGCTTTACTAACAAAAGCACTTACAGGTATTATGATTGTGCGATGCAATAAGTCTGAGACGGCATATATTACTGGCTGTTATTTACATCAGGGCTACTCAACTTTGGAAGCCCCGAGGGCCACGATACCCACAGGACGTGCAAAGGGCCGCAACTTAGCGCGGCTGCATATATGCAAACATATGCATATCACAAAATTTACTAAAATGCAGATCACAAAACAAAATAAAATACCCCCTTTCCTTCCTTGATGCCAGGCACCCTCCTGCTCCAACCCAATCCCCTTCCCCTCCACTAGAACCAGGTACTCCCCAGTCCTCTGCTCCAACCCAATGCCCCTCCCCTCCCCCAGAGCCAGGCACCCCAGCCCACTGCTTTATCCCAATGCACTCACCCCTCCCCCAAAACCAGGCACCCTCCCGCTGCAACCCAAGTCCTCCCCTCCCTCAGCAGAGTCCCAGTCCCTCCCCCCAGGCTCTGAACATAGTCCCAGCCTCTACTCTGGTACTCCCCAGTCCTCTGCTCCAACCCAATGCCCCTCCCCTCCCCCAGAGCCAGGCACCCCAGCCCACTGCTTTATCCCAATGCACTCACCCCTCCCCCAAAACCAGGCACCCTCCCGCTGCAACCCAAGTCCTCCCCTCCCTCAGCAGAGTCCCAGTCCCTCCCCCCAGGCTCTGAACATAGTCCCAGCCTCTACTCTAGCAATCTCCCCCCCCAGCAGAGTCCCAGCTCCTACCCTACC